TAGCCAGACTTGTGAGTACTGATTCAGAGAAAACTCCAGGAACAAACTTGCCAACAGAGTTTCAAGTTGACAAGCAGGTATTCTTTATTGCGGCGCCGGGAGACACGGGGGGATAGCTCCTCCTAACGTGTGTCCCCGAGCTGCTCTACAGGTCATCCTTGTGTGGTCACTGAGCATATTACATCATTTTCCAAAAGGTTTCCGGCATGCTTACAAAAATGTGGTGGTCTTTAAGGGTCGTTTACTTTTCCCAACAAGCTTAATTAACATTACAGACATGGCAGTCATCCTGGCCTTCTACTTACCAGTTAGTTTACCTGCTCTCATCCTGGACGTCTGCTAGTCCGGGATACTCCCCATCCCCAGGTCCTGTCCTTCTATTCTGCTTTTCTCACACCTTTTGTACTGAGGCCCTGAGGGCCTGAAACTGTGTCAACTACCTCCAAGCACCGCAGTTATTTTCCATTACAAAGCCATCAAACTTAACATTACTTAGAACTGATTACATTTTGTACTTTTGTGCCTCCTTGTCTCAGTGCATGAGGGCTCGGCAGCATTGCAGGTCGCTGCTGCCCGAATCTCAGCATAGTCATTGCCCAGCAGCTGCTCTCAGACCCTGCGCTGCAGTGAAGGACACTTCTGAAGATGGGTTTCTCATTGTACAGCTGCATCTTAGCAGCGGTGTTTACAACACAGCGGTAAATGGGCAGTAAATATTCTTAAAGGCGAGTATCTAGAAGCTGTTAAGAGCCTTAACAGCTAGTGTTGTCTAAATGCTGTCTTTGTGTGCTAGAAGGTGTTTTTGAAACTGCGTCTTGTGATGGGTTCCTTCACATGGTGAACATGACCACTGGATATCCTGGAGAGGCAGAATTTCTGTTGCTTCCCGTGTTCGTGGTTGTCATGTAGAAGTACTAGGGTCTTCAAGACATCATGTCTGGGGCCTTGGGGAGATATGGGCAAACCTTTGGTCTGTAGCTGGTCTCAACAAACAGAGCCTATGCCAGCTCTGATGGAGGAGGTCTGTGGAAGGGGAAGAAGGGGAAGAGGGGAAGAGGGTCTTGTGACACCCCTAAAATGCAGTTTCCTGCAGTATTCAACCAGCCATCACTGCTGTACCTGATTTTGTTCTTATTGGAAGAAACTGCCCTGGATGGTTAATTCCTCTGCAAAGGGGATTCAAGGACCCTGACCCAGAAGAGCCTGTGTGGCTGCTCCAAGCATCTCCCCTCCACCCTGCATCACTGTCAGGGTTAAATGGTGCTCTTGGCATCATGTGCCCCCCACCATGGCAGTATAGGGTGTCCCTGGGGAGATGGCAGAGCTGGAGGGGAGGGCAGGGGGTAGTGGCCCCTTCCTGCCTGCATCTCCCCTGAGTCCTGCTCTTCAGATACGACTTCACACAAATTCATTTTCTGCGCACATAAGTTTGCCCCTTCAATTAATTTTGAATTGGGCATTTCCTTAACTCTCTACTGAGCTGCTTCACATTCAGCTATGTAATAAGAATTGCTCTGTATGTTTTGGAAGATGATTGCAGAGGGAGACATAATCCAGATCCATGGGCTTGCCATAGTCACTGATGAAATCTACGTGTTAGGAAGAAGTTCTTCCCTGTGAGGGTGGTGGGGCCCTGACACAGAAAAGCTGTGGCTGCCCCATCTCTGGCAGTGTTGAAGGCCAGGTTGGATGGCGCTTGGAGCATGCTGCTCTAGTGGAGGGTGTCACTGCCCATGGGAAGGGGTTGGAACCAGATGAGCTTTAAAGTCCCTTTCAACACAAACCAGTCTGGGATTCTCTGACAGGAATGCTGTGGATGGGACAGAGGACTCAGCACGTGCCTCAGTCACACGTTGCTGTCTTGGGAGCTCTGTGTTCTGCTCTGGAGCATACCAGAGTCACTAATGCAGTCACATTTCTGCCTTGCCACCAGCTGTGTTCCTCAAGTTCCAACTGCCTGCTGCTCTTGCATGACTCAGACTTTTGTTTGTCTTGTCCTCATCAAATAATTTGGATGCTTTTTTAGCGAGGTTGCTGAAACCCACAGGACACCCTCACCCACTGTCACAGAAGCATTTGTGTTGATGGAGCAATGTTGTGGTGCCTGCCAGAGCAGTGAGAGAGTCCTGTTCCTGTCCTTTGGGTCCGTGGAGATGTGGTGGGTGCTGTGTGGCAGCCCTCTATGAGCACCCTTATTCTGCTGGTGAAGGGATGGGATAACAGCTGGGAGAGGAGTCAGAATGGGAGAAGGGCTGAGAAGATTTGGACCACCATCAGAGATATGCAGACTTTGGCCTTTTCAGGAACCTGCTTAATAAGGTTATTAATAACCTTAATAAGGTTCCACGGGATATAGCCCTAGAAGGCAGAGGGGCTCAAGACCCCTTGATATTCAAGGATCACCTGCTATAAGCTCAGGAGTGTTTCGTCCTGACTAGTAAGAAGTGCGGCAGGAAGGCCAGGAGACCTCCATGGGTGCATAAGAAACAGCTGAGAAAACTTAGAAGGAAAAAAGAAGCTTATAAAAGGTGGAAGCAAGGACAGGCAGCCTGTGCAGAATACAGGGACATTGTCCAGGAAGCTAGGGACCAGGTTAGAAAAGCTAAGGCCCAGTTAGAATTAAATCTGGCAAGGGATGTGAAAGATAACGCGAAGGGCTTCTATAGGTATGGAGCAAACAAAACACAGACTAGGGATAATGTAGGCCCTCTCCAGAAGCTATCAGAAGAACTGGCTACCCTGGATTTCGAGAAGGCTGAGGTTCACAATGACTTCTTTGCCTCAGTCTTTACTGGGAAATACTCTGAGCACACCAGCAAAGTCTCGGAAGGCAGACACAGGGACTTTGAGAATGAAGACCTTAGGCCCACTGCAGGAGAGGAACAGGTTCAAGATCATTTTAAAAACCTGAACGTGCACAAGTCCATGGGACCTGATGAAATCCATCCACGGGTCCTGAAGGAGCTGGTGAATGACATTGCTAAGCCACTGGCCATCATATTTGAGAAATCATAGCAGTCAGGTGAAGTTCCCAACAACTGGAAAAAGGGAAATATAACCCCCATTTTCAGGAAGGGGAAAATGGATGACCCAGGGAATTACAGAGCAGTCAGTCTCACCTCTGTGCCTGGCAACATCTTGGAGCAGATTCTCCTGGAAGGCTTGCTAAGGCACATGATAAACAACAAGGTGCTGGGTGACAGCCAGCATGGCTTCACTAAGGGGAACTCCTGCCTGACCAATTTGGTGGCCTTCTATGATGGGGCTACAGAACTGATGGACAGGGGTAGAGCAGTTGATGTCATCAACCTGGACTTGTGCAAAGCATTCGACACTATCCCACAAGACATCCTTGTCTCTAAACGGGAGAGACATCAATTTGATGGATGGAGCACTCGGGGGATAAAGAACTGGCTGGATGGCCGCACACAAAGAGTTGTGGTCAATGGCTCAATGGCCGGCTGGAGACCAGTAACGAGTGGTGTCCCTCAGGGATCGGGGTTGGGACCGGTCTTGTTCAACATCTTTGTCGCTGCCATGGACAGTGGGATTGAGCGCGCCCTCAGCAAGTTTGCCGATGACACCGAGCTGTGTGGTTCGGTTGATACCCTGGAGGGAAGGAATGGCATCCAGAGGGACCTCGACACACTTGTGAGGTGGGCTGATGCCAACCTCATGAGGTTTAACCATGCCAAGTGCAAGGTCCTACACCTGGGTGGGAGCAATCCCAGGCCCAGCTACAGGTTGGGCAGAGAAGAGATTCAGAGCAGCCCTGCAGAGAAGGATTTGGGGGTGTTGGTCGATGAGAAAATGAACATGAGCTGGCTTCAGTGTGCGCTCACAGCCCAGAAACCAACCGTATCCTGGGCTACATCAAAAGGAGCGTGACCAGCAGGTCGAAGGAGGTGATCCTGCCCCTCTACTCTGCTCTCGTGAGACCTCACCTGGAGCATTGTGTGCAGTTCTGGTGTCCTCAACACAAAAAGGACATAGAACTGTTGGAACAAGGCCAGAGGAGGCCACGAGGATGACCAGGGGACTGGAGCACCTCCTGTATGAAGATAGGCTGAGCAAGTTGGGGCTGTTCAGCCTGGAGAAAAGGCTGCATGGAGACCTCATAGCAGCCTTCCAGGGGGGCTATAGGGATGCTGGGGAGGGACTCTTCATTAGGGACTGTAGTGGCAGGACAATGGGTAATGGGTTAAAACTTAAACAGGGGAAGTTTGAGTTGGATATAAGGAGGAAGTTCTTTACTGTGAGGGTGGTGAGGCACTGGAATAGGTTGCCCAGGGAAGTTGTGAATGCGCCATCCCTGGCAGTGTTCAAGGCCAGGTTGGACAGAGCCTTGGATGACATGGTTTAGTGGGAGGTGTCCCTGCCCATGGCAGGGGGGCTAGAACTGGGTGATCTTAAGGTCCTTTCCAACCCTAACTATTCTATGATTCTATGAATAGAAGGTGTTTTTCCTCAGCCTGGGGTCTTCATAAGCTCTTCTGGCTTCGTACAAATTCCGGGAAGTCCCAGTGCTAGGATCTGTTGCCATTTAATAGTCTGGAGTCTAACAGCAGCATCCTCATGAGACACACGTGTCCTTGTGCACCATGTCTGGAGTTTGAGCTGGTTTTGCTCTGTGCAGCCCCCATCATTTCCCGGGAGCCAGTGTGCCCTGGGTGTGGATGGACGCGGCTCAGCCGGCCATGGCCGCCGCCGTGACCCACCGTGGGGTATGGTGTGGGGGGGCGGATAGTTGTGGGTCGCCTGTGCTGCGCTTCGCGGAGGAGGTTGGGCGTGGGGAACACAGCGGAACCGCTGGTGCGGAGCCGCACACTGGACAAAAGGAGTGCTGCGTGCTGGGGGGGGCAGGAGGGGCTGCAGGCGCCGGGAGGGGGTGCGCGAGGGGGTGATGCCTTCCTTGGGGAGGGCGGTGCAAGGCGTGGGGAGTGGCGCATTGCCGTGGGGCGGGAGGGGCCGAGGCGAACCAAGCGGAGCGGGCTCACGCAGGGCGAGTTGCGGTTGTGCCGTGAGGAGCCGAGCCGAGCCGTGCGCAGGGTAGCGCGTCCTGCAGGACCGGGGCCCAGCGGCCCCGAGCCCGCGGCAGGTGAGTGCCCTGGGGCCGGGCGGGGAAGCCGAGCCGTGTCCCGCCGTTACCGCGCTGGCTCGTTCTGCGCCCTCCGCTGGCAGCCTCTGGAGCGGGCGGGCCGGACCCTGCGGGACAGGGGCATCCCCCCCTGAAGCTCCGAGTTCCCGAGCGCCCATGGACGCTCTCTCTAGGGGCAGGGGTGCCCCGGCTGGCCGATACCTCCGGTACCGAGACTCTGCTGTTTGCAGGGTGCTTGAACGAGCTGACAGGGACACTGCGATAGGTCAAGCCCAGCTGGGGGACCCGCTCCTGCCTTGGGAAATGAAGACCGAGCTAGGTCTAGTCCCGGGAGCCCGCTTTGTGCTTTGTCCCGATGGGAGCAGCTAAGCAGACCAGTTCATGGGGCAGAGCTGCCCCCGGGAGTGATGGCTTGGAGGAGCCACTCCTGGAAGCAGCTCTTCTGGCCTGGTTCTCAGTGGGGCTGTGGCTGGTTACCCATCTGCTGTCCTCGGGACTCGCTCGGTGGTTCACAGCCTGTAGCACTGTCCCTAGTCTTGGTTCAGAGAAGGGCTCTGGGCTTTTTGGAGGGCTGCAAGAAAAATGTAGATCCCAACGGTAGGGAAATAGACTACTGGCTTGGCCGGAAGTTCCTTGGCAGCTGCTGTGTTACCTTTCCCCATGTCCAAGCAAGTAGTTTGCCTTTGATGCTGTTCTGATATTGCTTGCACATTCTGTGCACACAGTGGCTCAGGTTGATTTGCTGAAGGAAAGATGGTTTTTCAGCCCGGTCTCTGCTTTGCAGGAAAGGTCCCTCTTCCCCTGCCCTTTCTTGGTGCACCTGGCTTGAAGACATGGATCTGCCTCAGGAGGTGGCCCTGCCAAGGGAAGGAATGGCTCCAGGTGGATCAGGCAGGATTCGTAGAATCATGGAATGGTTTGGTTTAGAAAGGACCTTAAAGCTCATCCAGCTCCAACCCCTGCCATGGGCAGGGACACCTTCCACTAGAGCAGCTTGCTCCAAGCCCCTGTGTCCAACCTGGCCTTGAGCACTGCCAGGGATGGGGCAGCCACAGCTTCTCTGGGCACCCTGTGCCAGCGCCTCAGCACCCTCACAGGGAAGAGCTTCTGCCTAAGAGCTCATCTCAGTCTCCCCTCTGTCTAAATCAGCCTCCCCCCATCTGTGGCATAGCAGTTCCAGGTCTCCTTCAATTTCCCTGCCAAGTTCAGAATCTCCACTGCTGAAACAGCAGCTTCCAGGAGAAAGCACGTTCAAGCTGCCTTCAGCAGGATCTCAAATGTATTATGTTTTTCTGTTTAAAAATCCCCGAACACTCAGGTAAGAGGGAAAACTGAATTGGAGCCTGTGTAAAACCTGCTGCGAAGCGTAGGTAAAGCTGTGGGGTAAACAAATGGTGAAAAGCTAGTACTGTGTAGTGAAGAGATTGCTGTTACCATGCAGGGTCAGTCACAGCATGGCACAAGCTTACAGGTGGCCAGCTGGAGCTGAAGTGTTCAAAGTGGAACTACCTGCATGCGGATGGTTCTGACTCATCAGGCAAGAGTTGCAGTGCTCCTATTCCTGAGCAAAAAAAGAATATAAACCCAAGCTGGACCCGAGCAGTGAGGCTGAGGGATGCACCATGCTGCGGAGCTGGGATGTCAGCTCATCATGGGATGTCAGCATGGGGAAGGCCAGGCAGCACTTAGAGGCCCTCAGGCTTCTGCAGGGACCTTGCTGGAGAGTTCTCGCCTGGCCCAGAGTCCCTCCACAGGGAGGAGTCAGAGCTGAGTCACTCGGGGTACCTGGCACATATTTCCTTGTCCTTTTCCCATTCAGTCTTGCTCTTTCAGGAGTGTAGCTGCTCACACAGTGGGGAAGTTGTGTGGGCTGAGATGCAGCTGTGTTTCTCTCTTGTGCTGGTCCACCAGGCAAGGTCCCCCTTGCATAGTAAGTCCTCAGCAGCCCCCACTGCTGATGGTTGCCGTAGACACACTTGTTATTTTCTATATAAATTATTATTCCTGTGATCATTAGGTTTGGTGCTTTCTGGTGACATTTCAGAGGATCTCAAAGCAATCTAAGCTCATGGGCTGAAACTGAAGGTCGTGTCACTACTAAAGCTCTTCTTTACACCAGTTGGCAAAGTTTTTGGGAGTGAGTTACGCACCTTCAGGCTGCACCCAAATGTACCTGCACCCGGAGAGTGGCACAGGATTTCTCTGGAGAGCATGGGGTGTAAGTGGGCAAGCCCATTTAAGGCAGAAGTTGTGATTTTTCTGCCACGTCCCTGCTTCTTTCTATATTGAGAAAGCTGCTGCTTGGCTGCTTTGTGAGCACAGGAGCTGGTTTTCTTCTGCTGGCAACTGGAAGCCTGGCAGCTTCCTGTAATCAGAGTTTAAAACATCAGGGCTTTTAAAGAAAATGCTTCAAGGTTACTCCTACTGTTCAGATTAAGTCTTGCATAATCTTCCCTAAGGGCAGATTTTGCAATGAAAACTTCATGTAAAGCAGCACCCTGGCTTTACATAAAGCAAGGCTGTGGGGTTTTGACTTGAAGCACAGTTTCTGAGGGAACTTTCAACTTTGAGCATTGATGGCAAATGCTTTGGCTCCTATCCCATATGATCTTCAACATGAGTGCTTAAGGCTAGAGGTGTGCATCTCTAGCCACCAAACATGAAATATCCTGTTGCTGCTATTTAGCAAGTGGTTGGCTGGTGCTCTGCTCCTCTTGTGTCCTTGGTGACAGCTGTAATTAGGTAAATCATTGAATCATAGAAACACAGACTGGTTTGGGTTGGAAGGGACCTTAAAGCTCCTCCAGCTCCAACCCCTGCCACGGGCAGGGACACCTTCCACTAGAGCAGCTTGCTCCAAGCCCCTGTGTCCAGCCTGGCCTTGAACACTGCCAGGGATGGGGCAGCCACAGCTTCTCTGGGCACCCTGTGCCAGCGCCTCAGCACCCTCACAGGGAAGAGCTTCTGCCTAAGAGCTCATTTCAGTCTTCCCTCTGGCAGCTTAAAGCCATTCCCCTTGGCCTGTCCCTCCAGGCCCTTGTCCCAAGCCCCTCTCCAGCTTTCCTGCAGCCCCTTCAGGCACTGGAGCTGCTCTCAGGTCTCCCCTTCAGGAGCCTTCTCTTCTCCAGGCTGCCCCAGCCCAGCTCTCTCAGCCTGGCTCCAGAGCAGAGCTGCTCCAGCCCTCACAGCATCTCCATGGCCTCCTCTGCACTCTCTCCAACAGCTCCACGTCCCTCTTGTGCTGCTGCCCCAGAGCTGGATCAGGGCTGCAGGGGGGTTCTCCCCAGAGTGCAGCAGAGGGGCAGAATCCCCTCCCTCGACCTGCAGTTACTGTGGATCAGCTCCATTTTCTACAATCTTACTGAAGCCACAAGTCACAGTGGTGTGGGAATGGCTTTGATGTCATAGGAGAGGTAAGCTGCATGAACTGCTTCTTCACTCCTACTCCTCAGTTGCTCAGTTGCTGCCAGGGTTCCTCTTTGCTGCCCTCCGTCCTTGGTGTGGAAGTAGGCAGCGTGCAAATTCCATATCCAGACCTGCTGGGCATGATCCTGGCTGCTGAGGAGCCTGCTCACCCCATTGCTGTTTTTCCAGGGCTGGGTTAAGGGCTCTGCAGCTGCATTAGGGGATGTGAAGAGCCACTGCAGTGGGCAGTGCTGACAGAGGTGCAGCCAAGGTGGGTGTTCAGGCTCAGCAGATCTGAGTCTTGCTCCCCATGCAGCAGGCCATGCTGCTGAGCTGTGCAGCTTCTGGCCAAAGCGCGTTCTGTGGCTAAAAACCTGTGTAGTTTCAAAAGCTTTACTGGGCACCTTCATAGAAGGAAATCATCCATTGAGAGCTATTCAATACAAATCACTGTATCAGCACCTTCTGTGCTGAGCTACAAGTGGGAGCCCAGAAGGCAAATGAGCAGACAGGTCTGAGCGCAAGGGTGAGGGGTGCCCTTGTCACCTCTCACAGCTCATACTTGACACCCCACCTTGACACTGGCTCCTCACATGGCCTTTGGCAACTCACTTAACTCGCCTTGCTTACATTTTAGCTTTAGTTTTTCCATTTGTCAGTGCTAGCCAAGTCTTCCTGCTTTGTAACAGTGGACTAGTAAGAGATAACAAGTGTAGGGAGCTGGGATTGCCTTAGGGGCTCAGTCTGCTGTGCTAGATTGATAGGAAAATGCTTATCTCAGGTGCAGATCTATTTTTCTCCTTGGCAGTTAGGGAGGTGTTGAGTGTGATACCCTGGAGAGAGACTTGACTGCATTCAGTGTCCCCAGCATTGAAGAGCTTCTTAGAATCTGTGTTGTCATGCAAATACTGCTTGTTTACATAGCATTACACAGAGAAATGGATTTAATGGGAGTGACTGATTTCCCTATCGGGGCTAACCTGATACTTGTAAATCAGCTGAAGTTCAACTTCTCACAAGTCATAGGGGTTTTCATAAGCCAGTGGTGGATGGGATACAGCAGGCATGGCCAGAGGAAGGAGTAGAGAGAGGGGAGAGCCAGGTGTTAAGGGGCAGTAGCCCTGGATGCTTGAGGCAAACTCAGCTTGAGGTGGGGAGACAAGCCCTGCCCTGACATAGCAGGATTTGAGCTCTCATTCCTTCACTCCCCTGGGAAGGACTCACGTCTGGCAGGATGAATCCTGGAGGCTGTTGGAGCAGGGAACATTTTCCCTTGCATCTGCACAGCCTAGCTGCAGGGGGTCAGGGCAAGGGCCATATGAAGAGCAGGGATATGGTGCCCACAAGTGCTGTAGGGATGTGGAACTTGTGAGAATGCACTCGCCTCCTGTGTCGAGGTGAGTCTGGTTTCCTCCATCTCAAAGCATGACCTTTAAAATGATCTCTTACCTACTTTTCTTATGAAGCCTCTGGCAGGTAGGTTACTGTGGTTTTAATCCCCATGTGCAGATGGGATGGAGGGGCCCAGCTCCCATGGAGTACTCCCTTCCTGGTGTCCCACCATCAGCAGCTGGTTCTTGAAGTGCCTTTTTTTT